CCCACCCCCACCCCCGGCCTCCAGCAAGGAGAACACAGCAATACTGGATTACTAATTCAAGGTTGGATATCACCAAAGCAAGTAGGAAGAGGCTTTTCACAACCTCAAGGGCAAATAATGGAGAATAGGGTCCTTCAACTGGAACTAGAGTGCCGCCAGTCAAATCCTACAGACAGAACATGCAGACTGAATGAATCTGACTGGACACCAAAAAAATTCCAGAAATGAAGACAAAAATATGAATTCAGAAATCTGCCTGAAATTCAATTAAAAAACACTAAGTTATACCTGAGCAAAAGAATCACTTAAGGAATGTGCGGGATCAGTTGAAACTACTAAAGTGGGATGACCACTATTTGCAAATTTTACAGCAAGTGAAGCAGCACAACTTGTCTTCCCAACTCCTCCTTTACCGCCTAGCATGTAATACTTACGCTGGGTCCCAGAAACCATTTCATCAAATCCAGCAGTGGCTTCTGCAGGAGCAGCTACTGCTCTCACTGCCATTAAGCACAAGGATTTAGCAACATTAATGAGGCCATAACAATGGTCATGGATCATGGTGGAAGTGAATCACTCTTGAGTTACAGCTTTCTAATTGAGTTCTAGTCTACTAGTTCTAGATGAGTACGCGAGGAAAAATATGCCTCCTCAATATTCTTATTAGTAAGGGCTGCCTTCACTGATCGCATTTCTTCATTCTTATTCCTTCAAGCATTAAACTAAAATAAGTGATCTACATCATTTTAAGCTTGTAGCTTATATCACTGCCATAGGCTGCAAATTAGCTTAGTTTTCTCTGGCTTCCAGATATACTACTAATTCAATGGTTATAAAGCTAAAGATAAGATTTTCAATAAGTGATTGGTCGTAAATGATGAGGAATGTAGTACAGTCACCTATAGCCATATATGCTAATCATATAGCCTGCAACTTCACACCTTTTTTTCCCAATATATACCAAAGAAAAAGTAAGAACAAATGTGTTTCTCTGGCTACACATTAGTCACACAGCAACTTTTAGGCACTATTACAAGCAAGGGACAGCAACAAGTCTCTAATGAACCAAAGACAATATGGAAGCTTTTTCTTTTTCCACTTCCCCTTCATCATATGCACATTGTTAGAATGTTACCTCTAAGATTATTCGTATTCATCGAGATGTTAAACACCAAACCTATAAAATTTAAGTATTCTACCCATAAAATTTACAGAGAAGACAAGCTAAGTTTACTGTAGAAGAGATGCATCAGCCGTGGAGATAATTTCTAATCAACAGAAAAAACATGGGCATCAGAGTTATTAAGGATATCTTACATTCCCATTTTAAGGGCAACTGATGGTTACCAGACATTTTCCAACCATTTTAATCTTCAACATTTCTCACATCAATAATATTTTCAAATGAGAAATTTGTAGTGGCTAAATTTTAAAGTTTTGAATAGCTGGAGCCTACTACTCCAACAGTCGCTATCTATTTGTTAGACATCAGTTGTAATATTTTTAAGCCTGAACTGGGAATCGGAATCATTTAAAACAGAAAAGAAAATGTTATCATTCAATTTAGGACACCCTATCAAATTCTATGTTAGCAAATAGAATACTGACTCAAACTCTAATAGCATACTTTCAGGTGCTCTTTTTTTATGCTTTAAATAAATAATACCATATGTTTCTGTACCTGGCTCAATTTTAGCAAAGCAGACGGTTAAATCCCCAATTTTTTGAAACACAAAAAGATTAAGTAAAAATGGAAAGAAACGAGCTAACAGTTAGAAAAAGGCTAGTAATTGACAGGCAGAGTAAGAATACAACAACAAAAACAGAAATTTTACAGATAATCTTCTGTCTTTTAACGCACAGAACGTAACAGCATCAAGAAATTCACCTTGCAAAGATTTCATGGGCTGTTTCTTTAAAGAGATGAAAGTAGTCGAGCTGAATTTGAAGAGAGAACGTGGGTGTCCAAAAGAACTGAAAGAATGGGCATAACTCACAACTTCCATTGGCTTAGTTGAAGATGAAATTGAAAACATGACTGCCGTGCACTATCTTCTCTTCGTTTCTGAAGCAATAGAGTGCCTCTTTATGAGCATTTACTCTTTTTTCCCCTTCCAGAAAAAAGGACGACCAAGGGCCCGTTTGCTTTTTTACTATCTCTAAATCTAAATTATCAAAATGATTTTTTCTGTCTATATATATATAAATAAAATTTCGAGTAAATAATTATACATAAAATAATAAAGTGCAAGTTTTAGCAATGATCAATGCGGATAGCCTGCGATTCATTTGTTGATGGTAAGATAATACGATATCCTCTAAATTTACAAGATGAACCATTATAGTTTAATTAGAAACATTTAATTTCTTGCTTATGTTGATTTTATGAGGTATAAATATGTAACGAAGGTATCTCATCTAATAGTCCTTCCTCTGATAAACAATACTTTCTGGTGTATGTTCCTTTTATTAGTTCTCGTTACTCTATCATGACCTTTTGTTGTGGATATTGGTTCCCTATAGAAAGTGCAACAAAAAATTGGCCATACGATAAAATATGTTGTGTTTGTCACGATCCAAAACCCTACCATATTGTGATGATGCCTATTGTGGTACTAGGCAAGCCGACACCTTTCAAAAACACTTCGGTATTTCATTAAAAGATAAGTCAAAGCTTTTTCATAACAAAGATATCATAAAAGAGTTAAACTCAAGATAGAATGCAGAAAAGATATGCCCGACATCGGGGTGTCACTAAGTCATGAGCATCTACAACCAGTCTAGAATTCAAAGTTTAAAATAGTCTGCCAAGTGCCAAAAATAAAAAGAAAGATAACAAAGGATGGAGAGACAAGGGCTGCGGATGCCGATAGCTACCTTATATGTCTCCGATAGACGTCCGTGCACGAACTCAATGACCTCGCGACCGTTCTCACCTGAATCTGCACACAAGGTGCAGAGAATAACGTGAGTACTTCCAAACAAATAAGGAACTGAAACAAATAAGGAACTGAGAAGCATTGACGAGCTATGCAAATACAATTTATTTCAGTAAATTTCAATAAAGAATAGGCATGCTTTCAAATCTAGTAGTTTAAGTCAAAATAAGTTCGTGCTCAAGTAAACCAGATATCAAGTCTTCCAAAGAGTTGCACAACAAGGACATATAATAACTAAGTGCAACAATAATTGAAAGCAAGTGCAGTCTCCCAAGACAACAGTCACTCGGCTCATCTCGACAGCCCAATCACTCAGCTCTCAGCCCTCAGTACTCACGCTCAATAGGTACCTGCGCTCATTGGGGGTGTGCAGACTCCGGAGGGGCTCTTTCAGCCCAAGCGCTATAATCTGCACGGACAAGTCACATGCTGCACGGACAACTCACGTGCTATAATATCAATACAAGACCCGCACGGATAACTCACGTGCCATAATATCAAATCAAGATCCGCACAGACAACTCATGTGCCATAATATCAATATCTCACCACTTGGCCCTAGGCCTCACTCAGTCATCAACCTCCCTAGTCTCCCGGGATCCAAGAAATCATATAAAACAGCCCAAACAGAGATAATAACATGTATCAATAATAAACAGTAAGAGACGGAGGCATAATAAGCAAAAAAAACAATGTCTGAGTACAAATAATTAATAGCTAATTCAGCAAGTACACGACCTCTGCGGGTCCCAACAATGATATCACAGGGCCTAAAACATGATTTCTAACATGAAGTACAATCAATTTCCATGAAACAGAGGGGACATGTAGCAAACTGTAAACTATTCATTCAACAGTGTCACGAGACGGACCAAGTCACAATTCCTTTCAGTGCATGCCCACACGTCCGTCACCTAGCATGTGTGTCACCTCCAAAATAGTTACACGACACAAAATCCGAGGTTTCATACCCTTAGGACCAAATTTATAAGCGTTACTTACCTCAATCTGAGCGAATCTCTACTCCAAAATGCCCTTGCCTCGCGAGTCGGCCTAAATAAGACTTCTGGTACTTGCTTTTATTGATTTATGACTTGCGAGGATGGTTGTTTCGGGATTTGGAAGAGTTTGGGTCGAAATCGGAACACTTAGTTCCTTAAGGATGGCTTAAAAGGCCAAGTTTTACTTTGATCAACATTTTGAATAAATGACTTCGGAATCGGAATTTAAAGGTTCCAATAGGTTCGTATGATGATTCTAGATTGGGCGTATGTTTTGATCGGGTTGTGGATGATCCGGGAACATTTTGACGCCTAATAGTGAAAGTTGGTTCTTGAAGATTTTTAGAAGTTCTTTAAATTTTGTTTAGAACGGGTTTTGGTGATATCGAGGTCTAAACAGAATTTCGATACCGAAAATAGTTCCGTAATGTCATTTAAGACTTGCATGCAAAATTTAGTGTCATTCCGAGTATTATAAGTATGTTTCGGCACATTAGAAGTAAATTGAAGATCTTGAAGTTCTTAAGTTTGATTCAATTGGTTTTAGGGTGGGACCCTTAGTTTTGATGTTGTTTCGGGCGTTTCGAGAGTTCGAGCAAGTCCATTTTATGATTCCAAGCTTGTTGGTACGTTCGGGCGGGGCCCTGGAGGCCCTGAGCATCAATTAAACGAGGCCCGAACCAAGTTGAAAGTTTGGAGCAAGAGTTGAAGCTCCAGCTGCTGTCATAACCGCACATGCGGTTGGTCAACTGCAGGTGCGAGCTTGCAGGTATGTGCCAAGCACTGTAGAAGCAACCAAGGAAGGGCAACCCAGGTTTTGCAAATACGGCTCCCTTTTCGCAGAAGCGGGACCGCAGGAGCGGGAGCTCGTCCGCAGAAGCGACCCCCAGCTGGCGCAGTCAATTACGCAGAAGCGGACCCATGTTTGCAGAAGCGTGACCTCATATGCGGTCAACTCACTGCAGGTGCAAAAATCACTGGGGTAGTGCACTTCATTTTTGACTCATTTCACTCAATTGTTGGGCGATTTTTGGAGCTTCTTGAGAGGGATTTTCATCTAGCTTTTGGAGGTAAGTAATTGTACCATATGTGAGTTAAATACTTAGATTATGGGTAGATTAACATGTATAAAATTGTAAAAATCATGGGTTTAGAGGAAAACCTAGGGTTTGATAAGAATGAGATTTTTACCATGAAATTAACCATGAAACTTATTAATAATCACATATTTATGTTCCTTCGGTTATGGGTAACAACTTCCTTTGAAAATTTCTGAAATTCGGGTACGTGGGCCCGAGGGTGAATTTTAGTAATCTCGCCTTTGGGGTTGGGTAATTACTTTAATAGTTTGAATATGAACTTTTGAGCCTATATTGATTGGTTTGTGCACTATTTGAATAGTTTTAGATTGTTCGACTCTAGTTTGAGGGTTTGAGTGCATTCTTGAGTTGGAAGTAGGCTTGAGATGAGGTAAATCTCTTTTCTAACCTTGTAAGAGGGAAATTTCCCCATAGGTGAACTTAATTAATATGTGATTATTTGTGGGGGATACGTCCGCACGAAGTGACGAGAGCCCGTACGTAACAACTTGTCAAGACCCAGATTTCCCGTCCTCGGGAGTCGTGATTGCGCCTACTAATGTAAGCTAGGCAAGCTGACTGTTTGAACCAATTACATTTTTACCCATTTTATATTCTTTAACAATTATAAAGCAATAACATGTAGACAACGGAATTTACAATAAGCGGAAGAAAGCAATAAATTATTTGAATATGTATCTAATACAACTGTTTGAGTATCGACTGCCCAGTACTGGTGTCACAGTTTCACAGACGATCTAAGAATGCTACATACAAAGTCTGAAAGATTAAAGATACACTGTTTTTGAACTAAGTAAATGAAATAGGAGTAAAGGGAAAGAGGGAGACGCCAGGGCCTGCGGACGCCTGCAGGACTACCTTGGATCTCCGTGTGGACTGAA